GACTTAAAGCTCATCATAGCTCCCCCTGAACCTACAAGTATAGGATTTATGATCTAAGGCTTAGCAGGCTCTTTGTGTAGGTGCTTCCGCGTGAATTTGGGAGTTAAGCTTGAAGTTGAGGAGGGTGTAGAGTATGATAACTTCCAAGGATTGAAGGTGGGAGTTGGGGTGGTGGCTTTAACTTTCTGCGCAAAGTGGATACCATGCATGCTGAGGCTGTAGCCCATGCTAGCGTTGCTGCGGCGCCGATTGCTGGAGACACAGCCCTATCAGCTGCCTCTGAGCGAGAATGTTGTTCAGACTTCGGCATAATTTCAGGGATCAGGATTAGGGCTGCTTTTGGGCTTGAGAGCTCCGGGTCCTTAACATTTCAAGCATGGGGATTCGCAAGTCTGCTCTGAATGTCTTTGGGCTGGAGGTTAAACGGACATACTACCTTAAAGGGCACCTTAGAGGCTACTTTAAAGGGCTACTTTAAGGGTAAGAAGGGATTACGTGGAGGTTGGTGGGTAGTGATATGTGGGGCCACAAGTAGGGTAACAACAGTTGTAACCTGTATGTATATGTATATATATATACATAGATGCAATAGTTAGGGTTATTAACTGCATACTTGCATGAGAAAGCTGCCGTTTTATGATACAACTACAAGCAGCAGTGTTGTAGTGAAGACATATGACCCATATCTTCAGTAGTCATAATAATACCATAAGAGAAGATCAATATTGACCGTTTGTTGGAATGTGTTAGTGTTGTTGAGACAGCCAACCGGGTCTGTCTGATTCGGTTTCGGACTTGGGTCTTTGAGGATTTGAGGCTCTGGTGGTTTGGGATGATAGGGCTTCAAGGCTCCGGCGCAACCCTTGGGAGCAAGCATTTACCATTCTAGCGGAGCCGTCGGCACATTTCACTACTGCCAGCCCAAACCCTAAACCCTAAACCCCACTAAACCTAAAACCCAAAGCCCCCAAGACCAAACCTTTAAACCCTAAACCCTAAACCATACACCCTAAACCCTAAACCCTAAGCCCCCAAGACCAAACCCCAGCAAGAACTTCATCCGTCGCCTGCTAAACACCGTCTAACCAAGAGCAGGTAAAACAATCAAAACTCGACAACATAATCCTGAAAAGTCCTTAAACCCTAAACCCTATACTCTCTACCTTAAGCCCGAAACCCCGAACCCTAAAGTCTAAGCCCTACCTTAACCCTCAATATCCTACCTTTTTAAGGCTCCTTATTCCCTGATTTCGGCCTTCTTAGGCACGGAGATGAAAGCACGTGGCAGGCCAATGGCGACCGCCGCCACGAGAAGCAGTCCCTTTTAGATGGGTGTCGGGTTTAGGGATTAAGGTTTGTAAGGGGTTAAGTTTTAGGGTTTAGGTTTAGGGTTTAGGGACTAAGTTTCAGGGGTTAAGGTTTAGGGTCTATAGAGTTTAGGGCTTAGGGATCAAGGTTTAGGGGTGAAGGGTTAGGGTTTTCAGGGTTTAAGGTTTCGAGATTGGGGTTTTGAGATGGGTTTAGGGCTTAGCCAGAAGGTTTAGGGGTTAAGGTTTAGGGTTCTCGGGTGAAGAGTCTTGCGCTTCTTGTGTTTATCTATTATTCCTTGAAGGGTCTACGCAGGATTGTAATCGCTGGTCCAGGCTACCCTTATGTGGTTTAGTGCACATTCCGTTAAGGTTTCTACAAGTATTGGTAATTCGTCACTAAGGCCCCTAAACTAGGCGTCTTTTGGGGAATTATCAGGGCTGTGCAAGAGTTACAAAGATGTTCTGCGGGCTTTACAGTGGAACTTGATGAGGTTTTACGAGGTTCTATGAAAGCCCACGAGGTCTTGGGGGACTTCATCGATTACTTGAAAGGTTTGGGGTGCGTGGGGTTTTCGTGTCCGAGAGAAGCGCAGGTACATACATAAAAACACATAAACCAAATGAGTAGACATATATATATATATATATATGTATATGTGTATATAATATGTTCTTGGTTTATATATATATATATATATATATATATATATATATATATATATATATATATATATATATATATATATATATATATATATATGTATGTACATATATATATATATATATATATAACGTTTATATATGCCGGCCGGTAGCCCAAACTTTGCGCAATTACTCCCACCACAAACTTTTACGCGATCTTCTGCACCAAGTACATAGAGTAGAAGGCCAATTGTTGGAAAACCAATAGCCTCGATCCTTCAAAGTAATGCATAGGGAATCCCAGCACCATTTGGCCGTAATCCGGTTTCCGACTTTATGGAGCTTACTATACCCTAAGGCCCCAAACTAATTCCTTTTTGAGGTTCATATGTAGAATCCTACAAGGTAATCCCCAAAGAGGAACTACTATGGGGCCTCTGGGTAGCCCTAAACACTGTATACACCCCGAAACCCTACATCCAAGTATCCCGACTCCCAAGGGCCAGGTCCAGGATCCCGGCCGTCAGAAGCCGGGGGGTGCCCCTTGTCCGAGCCATGTCCACCTGCCCAGAAGAATTCCATTCCCCAAATGGGGGGTTTCCGCAAAAAGAAGGGGGGTCCTTATAATGAGGATCCTACTATTTAGGGTACCATACTAGGGTCCCCTATTTTCACAAACTCCCAAATACGACGGCACCCGTTTAAAACGGACTCTGAAATTGGAGCCTTCTTTAGCGAACTGCCCTTACAGCACCCTTATAGAAGCCCAAAAGAAACCCTTATAGATCCATTTAAAGGAACCCTAAAAGGGACCCTGATCTAGACAACTACTCATAAAGGCAGGGCGCAGGGAGGTACCGGTTGGGCATTCTGTGTGTTAGGTGGTCAGGGGTTTGGTGGCTTAGACTTGGGGGGCCGGCATTTGGGGGTTCGGCGGTTTGAGGACCGGACATGGGATTTTACCGTGGTGTTCTGCGGTTTGGGGGTCCAGAAGTTTGCCATTTTTGAGGGGTCTGGGGCATAAAGCCTCAAGCCTAGATGGAGTTTCGGCTGAAGGCTTCAGGGCTTTACAAGCATTGCAGGGGGAGTCTCTGGCCGCAAACATGCAGGACAGGGCCTAAAGCCGAGCTAAGGAAGGGTCCTGCATTCGCCTGGTAGCATTGGTAAGTTTGGGCTGCACTTCGCACTACCAGCCTAGTAGTAGTAGTAGTAGTAGTAGTAGTAGTAGTAGTAGTAGTAGTAGTAGTAGTAGTAGTAGTAGTAGTAGTAGTAGTAGTAGTAGTAGTAGTAGTAGTAGTAGTAGTAGTAGTAGTACTGTGAGCCCTTTGATATTCAGCTCAAGCCCTCCTTGCTGGAACCGACAGATCGTGAAATGCTCCTCTGATCACCCTCATGTCTGAATGCCCCTAAACTCCTCAACCCTGAACCAACAAAACCCTAAACCGCAGCTGCTCATGTTCTGCGCCTCGCTGTGCGACCAGGTCTGAAGCGGACTCTTGCTAAAGGAAAGCTGCGGACGTGCTCTTGCAGTTGGGCATTGGTGTTCCTGGCTTCAGGTTGAGATGAGGCTTTGGATTTCAATTATTCAGACCAGTACATGTATCCTCATACAGCGCACCGCTGAACCGCAAAAAACCTAAACCAAGAACGCAGCGAACCAACCCTGCTATGTTGCAATGGCGGCTTCCCAAAACAGGGCGTAAACCTGCATGCACCTACCAACCCCATTAAGTCGTATAGTACCGCAAACTCTGATAGAGCATCGCGACGACAGCGGCAATGACGAAAACACGACCAGGATCACCGGGACAACCAGGAGACCACCGGGAGAACACCAGCAGACCACCACCGAGAGATTCCCTAAACCGTAAACCCACAGACCCGGCAGGAGACCACCAGGAACTTCCCTTGAAGACCCAGGACACCATCAGGACCAAACCTGTCAAAATGCCTCCCCGCCCCAACATACTGGCAGATTCGAAAGCATGGCAACCTGCTTGCCCCCCAAGTACATTTTCCCCCATTAGTGGCAAGATTCAAAGACATCACCAACATGATTCCCCCCATGTATCAGCGGGGTCGTGTTTTGAAGACAACATGAGGCGCATGATCGTGATTTCCGCAGACGCGGCTAAACGGATCGCGTGCCAAGAACGGGACATGAGGGCAAACCATGCACCGAATTGCAGTGGGAGCGCCCAAAGTGCCCTGGTGCGGCTCGGACGTGCCGCGCGGCCACACTAAACAGTTCTATTTACTCCCAAGGTATCCAGTTGTCACCCTGCAGTGTGCTGCTTTGGGGGATAGATGTGGAAAACCGACAAGTTTGTGGATCCCACAATTCCCAACCGTCGGCCAAACATTTGCATCATTGAATACAGGTAGGGGCTTGCGAACTTCCAGTGCCCTCCAGCGTGAAACCGTGAAGTGTGGAAGATTCAGAGTGCAACGGTTTCGGGAACCAGGGGAAAAAACCTGATCTCACAAACCTGAACGCCATGGTGTGTTGCCCTATAGCTCCCAAATTAATCCATTGTATCCTGAAGCCTGCCAGCAGGTCACCCCAGGTAGGTTTCCAAAGCCACGGGCACGAAGGCCTGGCGTGTATCGGAGCCTTGCGAAACAACTCTAAGCGAATACTCCGAAAAGGACATGTCAAATCCAGGTTCGATATGTTTCCACGAAGGTATCTCCAACTTCTAAATCAATAGCAATATTTATGTTCGCAACCTATGTCGTATCGGGTGCGCACGGACCAAACAAGAGCTGTGGAGGGAGGCAGCAGCACACGTGGCCGGAAGGAGAATTTATGCCATGAAGGTAAAGGCTTGCAAGCCTGTAGCTGCCTGCAGCAGTCGTGAAAACAAACGTGCAAGACCTCAGTTTGAAGATGGCTCTGGCTTCCGATCATTTACTGCAGTTGCCCTGGAGCCAGGTCTATGACATGTGGCACTAAAAAGGTACCCACCAAAGCATGCTTTTACTTTCAACCTAAATATATACCCAAAGCATGGATCTTTTCCGCCGTGTTCGTTCAGCGGCTTCACATCAGCCTCGCTTCTCGCCCCAGTGCATCTCGTCGGCGAACCTCACACTTGCGATGCACGGAGCAGCAAATGAAATTCCATAATCGTTCTGGTTCTAAAAAGCCAAAACTCCACCGGCGGTCGATCAATCCGCGGGCCGCAAATCGCGTAGAATGCTAAAAGCAGAACATTCGCAGTTGCATAGATGACATGTGAACGACACACTCCGATGGCCATGACATGCCATGCTGGTGCAAATGGCCTGCATTTTTGTTCAGAGAGAGAAAAGAAAGAGTCGCTTGCAGTGAGCGGAGCCGAAACGCGATTTTCTCGCTGCCCAAATTCTGTGTCGATAACCCTACACCACACAATCCCAAGTGAGATGCGAGTCGAGGTGGTGTCAACTTCCAAGATTGCAGGGTGGTGCAGACAGACAATGACCGACTTGCGTAAGACGCCCTTGCGTCTTGAGCTACTTTAGCTTGGCGAGGGCGGAGATCCTTTGGTGTCTTTAGGTCGGCCTGCCTCCTGAAACCTCCTGAATGAAGCAGCGAGATTATTGTACTACTATTGTACTCTTGGGGGAACAAACTAAACGATGAATCCCGGCATTTTGCCTTATTGGCGATGAAAAGCTTTCGACGAAAACGGAACCATAAAGGGGAGTGGTTTCAGGTGCCGCAAAATAGGATGCGCCTCGGTGCCTTTGTAGTAAATAGTTCGGTCTTAGACGGTTTCCTTTATAGGCACTGCGGGGCCAATGCGTATGCTATACAGGTACCAGGGTCAAGCATTCATGTGAACCTCCATCCTTCCACGGTTCGAGATCTTTCCGTTGAAGCCGGTAGGCTCAGAAATTCGTTTGTAAACGCAATCAAGAAGCGCTGCATGGGGAACTGCATTTTGCTGAAGCAGCCTTTCACATGCGCTATCTGCATTTCAACAGGATGCTATATAGATGCCAGAATTCAAGCAGGTGACAGTGACACAATCTACCTCATGCATCATAACTCGTCATGAATCTCGCGTATCTCCAAGAAAGAAACATATGTACACTCACTGTAAGTCCCAACTCCTAAACCGCTAAATCCTACAACACAAAGCCCTAACGGTTAATGCATCGAATGCATTTCAGCTGTGTTCAAGGCTGCCGTGTGATCTTCGTGCTCCCCACTGCAATGTCCGAAGCTGGAACACATAAACCCTAAACCCCGAACCGCCCCAATCCCCTAAATACTGCAGCCCCGCACACCAACAACTCCAAGTCCCAGACCCAAAATCCCAAACCGCACAACCCCGACACCGAAACCCTAAACCTTGAGAAAGCCACAACCGAAGGACGATCGGCGAGTCAAGTCGGGTTAAGAGGTGCTGGTCTGCACGAAATCTCCCTAAAACTGTAGGCCTAAGAAATGAGGATATGGTTTCCAGGTATACAACAACGAGCCCTAAGATGGTCTTGCTACTGGTCCAGGATTCTCGACAAAACCTTGAACCACATTCACACCCAAGCCCTAAACGCTACTGAAGTGTTCGCATACTTGGCAACGTTGGGGTGTATAGGTTTTTCGGTCACCCCAAATACTACCCTGCTATAGAACTTATATAAATATATATATATATATATATAATTATAATGGCCACCATAATAAGGAACCTTGCAAAGGAAGGGCTTTCTAGAGTCAGGGAAGAAGCCCAGGCCTGATCACTGAAGCCTCCGAAGCCTACTCGTCGGGTATCATGGGGAACTGAAGGTTAAGCTTTTTGGTTATATAGGGATTATCTAGGGACTATATTACCCAAAAATGGCTAATGTCTAAGCTTATTGGTGAAATAGGCATTAGTTATCTAGGAACTATATTACCCAAAAATGGCTAAAGTTTTGGGTTATATCGGGATTATCTATAACTATGCTACCCAACAATGGCTAAAGGTTCCCTACTCTACTACTAGGCCTGAGACACACGAAGACCCCAACACCCACCGGGTAAGGAACCCTAAACCCTGTAAACTCCTAAACCCTAAGCCGTGTTTACTAGGGAACTGCAGCCCAGGCGCATGCACGCCAGAGAGCTCGCTGCCAGCAGCAGAAGCGAGGCCGTCGCGAGGAGCATCTTCCTCTTGCCATCCTGCGTCTCGGGATTCGGAATAAACCCTAAGGGTCCATGTACCTAAACAGTATATACATTGGCCTTAAAGTAGTCCCTATATAGGTACATTGGGGCCAATGTTTATACTATTTGGGCACATGGACCCTTAGGGAAACAAATAGAGAACAGGGTTGTGGGGGATTTGGCCGAAATAATTAGAGTAGGGTTGTGGGTGGGGATTCGGTCTAAATAATTAGAACAGGGTTGTGAACAGGGTTGTGGGGAATTTGGCCGAAATAATTAGAATAGGGTTGTGGGGAACTCCTTATTATGGTATAATATATAATATACCCCCCCCCCCCCCCAACCATTTTAGAGTAGGGTTGTGGGGAATTTGGCCGAAATAATCAGAGTAGGGTTGTGGGGATTCGACCTAAACAGTTAGAATAGGGTTGTGGGGTTCCTTATTATAGTATAATATACCCCGCAAACCCTTATTCTACAAAATCCTTAGCTCCTTAGGCCCTAAAGGCCTCGCCTCTATAGATCTTAAACCCTAAACCTTCAAACCTTCAGCCTTAAGCCCTAAACTTAGAACTACATCGGAGGCTGTGGGCGGGTGTGGGCAAAAGAGTATTCAATGGAGGAGCATTACTGACGGGAGCATTAATGACTAAAACTCAGAGGATTGGGTGTACATGACAGTAGAAATCTATAGGGACACCTGGAGACCATACAGTGAATAGTTTTGACTGTTCCGAAGCCCTACACCCTAAACCCTGAACCACGAACACGCGCATAAGGAGAGGTCAGTATGCATGAAGTGCAGCGACCACCGCAAATACCGATGATTTCTGGATCCCAGCAAGCAAAAACAACATTTGAAGACTTAATACTGTAGACGAGCAGTTGGCATGAACACGAAAAGAAGTCTGGAACCGTCCTCTCCGTCCAATGTCTCGGAGAGGGATAGGTGCAGGGTGCACTCATCCATGGCCTTGTCGTGAGTGACCTTAGCGAGGTTTGGGTTTCAGGACGTATTAATCGCAATTCTCAAGCCTTCCCAACAATCCCCAGTCTGTGCATTTAGGGGTTTAGGGGTCCAGGGTTAAATGCTTTCGCAGATTCGCAGGGGGGTGCGAATGAAACCCTGCCAGGATTTCTGGCAATCCCATGAGCAGCCCCATTGAAATATAATAGAACTCTAAGTCTACACCCTGCAAGTTTGAACAGCTTCGATAGATGTGGCTTTAGTTTTCTGGTGCACTGTTCTCACTACTATCGTTACTGTTTTTGCTACCATGACTACTGTTACTAGTTACTGATAAGTACCGGTAACCTGACTGCTTACTCGGTACGCCGAAACCAATCAAACTGATCCTGAACCCCCAGATTCTGCACAGTAAACACTAAACACCGACCATCAAGCCCTAACCCTTTTGGCAGTAACGCTCAAACCGCGCTCCAGAAGCCCGGAACCACGAAACCAGCTACACCCTTATACGCAAACCCGACACCCTGATCACCAAAATCTAAGTTATAGCTAGACAAGACCCTTATAAGCATTACCGTTATCGGGAACCTCTGGCTGCATTCATTGGAATCCCAAACCTTTACGCCCTAAACACCTGAAGCCTTCAGCTAACTCTGGGGGGGGGGGTGGGCTTAAGGGTTTAAGGCTTCACGGTTTGTGGTTCAGCGGCTCAAACCTAAGACCTGAGCCTTCACGAAACCAGACCAAGGCTTCGCTTAAGTCTGGTTTTCGTGCCCAGTTTATCCCAGCTGAAGAGTCACACCCGACACACGCCACCGAGCTGCAAGTGTGCGTGGAGTCCTTGGGTACCAGTGGGAGTATGCCTCTCGTGCTGCACATCTTGGAGTTGTATCATGGGAGCTCAAGTAGTTAGGCTAGGGTGGGGTTCTTCGCTGGCTACGGCGAGGTAAACGCCACTATAGGGGCCTTAGTTGTTAGAATATGGTTTTGGGGCCCATTATACTATAGACTATATAGTTATAATAAGGAATCCCCCAAAATGATATAGGTAATTGTTTAAGCCCCTACAATATGAGGTTCCAGGGCTCGGATCGACTCCAGTCGCAGATGTAGTGTGCCAGCAGAAGTCGCGGTACGTGTATTGGGTAACAGCAATACCAGCTGCAGCAGCTGTAATAGTAGTCGCAGTAATAGTAGTAGCATCAGCAGCCGGATGAGGAGGAGGAGGAGGAGGGGGAGGGGCAGGAGGAGGAGGAGGCTACTTAGTTGTTATTGATCTAGATCTTGTACAACCAGTTCCTGATCTCGCAGGACTCAGGCATGTGATTTCGAGGCTTTGCCCAAGCTGATTGTTAGAAGCTCCGGCTGCTCGAAACTCAACCTGCGGAGACTCCCCATACTGTAAAGGCCTTAATTAATTTCTTAGAATAGGGGCTCTTTTAAAGGGCTCCTGAAAGGGTTCTACTATAGGGGCTCTATAACTATACTGTAGGGGCCCTTAATCATTAGAACAGGATTATGGGTATAAATAAGATACTCTAATCATAATTAGGAACCCCCCAAAAAAGCACACTTCACATTTTTGAAGCCCCTACAGTATCAATGCCAACGGCCATATCCGGGCCTCTGCGTCAAGAGCAAAGCACCTCAGCTTGCGGCATTTACACGGCGTTCAGCGGTTGGGTTTCTGGAGGGCCGTGGTGTATGGATCTCCATCCTGAGTCAAAGGCCCCGGACACTGTAAAGCCTCGACACACCTGGGAGTTTCAGAAAATAGGACCCTGACACCAAAATAAGGTACCCCTAGTTTTCCGAAACTCCCACCTGTCACCTCCGCATGAGCCTCCCGCTCCGTGAAGCCCGCAGCCTCGGGTTTAGGGTTTAAAGTTTAGGGGCTTATGGGGTTTATAGGCTTTGAGGTCAAAAACTGCTGAACCATGGGCCCCATTGGCCACAGGTACAACAAACACAAACGCAACGACGACGAGACCGGCATCGAGATGCACATCGACCGGGACGAGGATCAAGAGACTTAGTCCACTCGGACGAGTTAATGGTTCAGGGGTTTAGCCTATGCCAGATCCGAATCCCTAAGGCCGTCCCCAATATTGGGGCCTCAGTTTTTGGAGTAGAGTCTGAACTTTTTCTCAACGCAAGCCATGTCGAAACTATAACGGCGTGGTATCGCTTCCTATTCCGACTCCCAGAAGTAGAAACATCCCTAAACCCTAAACCCCTGAACCCCATCCCTAAGCACTGTCCCCTTCGGACGCGTGGCCCTTCTCCAGCAGGTTTCACGGCTTCGCCTGGCAATGGCGAGCGCAGGGGAAGCCAAGGATTCTTGGAGGTTCGTGGGTAGTTGTACTTAGAGGATCATGGGACCTTGTAAGTAGGTTCCCTAAAGGGCTTCTTAAAGGGATCTATCGGCTTCGTTAGAGGGATCTAAAGGGTTTAGGGTTTAGGGTCTACTTAGAGGATCATGGGACTTTGTAAGTAGGTTACAATTGGGGTTATAAGTCCCCTAAGTGGGGTTATCTTACTTACTAAGTCCCATGAGCCTTCAAGCTAGTAAGTGGGGTTATAAGGCCCCTGGTATGGGCTATAATTATCGTTAGCCTGCTTCTGAACCCATTTGTAACGACCCATGAACCTGCAAGTTGCATCTGGGGCTAGCGCTTAGGGTTCACTTTGCTGAGTACGATGGAGGTCTGGGTTCCTGGAGATTCTAAAGCCATAGGGTTTAGGGTTTAGGGGTTTAGGGGTTTAGGGGTTTAGGGGTTAGGGTTTAGGGGTTTAGGGTTTAGGGGTTTAGGGTTTTAGGGGTTTAGGGTTTAGGGGTTTAGGGGTTTAGGGTTTTAGGGGTTTAGGGTTTAGGGGTTTAGGGGTTTAGGGTTTTAGGGGTTTAGGGTTTAGGGGTTTAGGGGTTTAGGGGTTTAGGGTTTGGGATCTAAAGTCTATGAATACTACCTACTTTGGGCTATTTGGTGTCTTAGGGAAAGAGATTGTGCTTGATTTCAAGTTTCCCATGCTCGCAGGCGGATTCGTGAGATTCACGGGTCTTCGTGAGAGAGATTGGAAGCCTTGACCTGAGGGCATCACACCATTGACTGCCCTGCACTGTCAGGTGGCCGCTTGAAGCTTACAGCCCTCGATTTGCAGTGCTTGTTGGTTTCGCGGTTTCAACATTTCATATGCACCATGTTCAAATCTTTAATCGAAGCCTATATAGTATCGAAGGCTACATTGAGCCCAGCAGTCTTCGTAGAGGAACGTTGGTGTGTCTAGGCTTGAAAACTGAACCCACCGCCTCCCTCATATCAGAAAAATACGGAACGACCTTCTCCTGCCAAGCTTTCGGAGCTCGGCAGTAACAAACCCCCCAAAACACAATCCAACCCCCTTCTTCCGCCGGGGTATAGAGACCGGACCAAATTTTGCATGCCAGCATCGTTGGACCCCTGGACGTGCAGATTCTGTACTTTGGCTCCAGACTTCGCTTCTTGTTCATGGTTGGGATAGGAATAAACATGTATATGTTTATTCCTTAGTGGGTTTACGTACCCATAAAAATATAAAATGTTATCCAACTATGACAAAGGCAGATCCCAAGCGTGCGTCAACACGGACTTCACACGGATTTGCATCAAGGGTGTGTGCCTCTTGGCTTTCAGCATAGACGCCTTGAGCTCAGGGGCAAGGGCTTCAGGATAAAGGTCGTCGGGGCTCAGATTTGTGATTCTTTCTCAGATATGCCAACAATCAAAGGAGTCTAAATCTTGAACCCTGTTCGGTCTACTACGTTCCGTAAACCTGCCCCCACCCCCCCGACAATCAGCTGGAAATTAAAACCCCGGTGGAACAATAAAGGGCTATAAATCCTCGAAAGATATAGGGATTATAGCCCCCCGAAAACGCTAGAGTTTAAATTCCTACTGTACTAATAAGTTAAGGTATAAAGCCTGGAGAGAGCGGGCCTAGTGCGAGCACAAGTGCGAACTGGTCCACTGCGTGGAGGCCGTTCGAGGCGAGACAGCTTTGGGGGCACCTGCAAACGGTGCCAACATAATCAGGGCAGGGTTAGGGTTTAGGGTTTAGGGTTTAGGGGTTTAGGGTTTAGGGTTTAGGGGTTTTGGGTTTAGGGGTTAGAGTTCAGGGTTTAGGGCTTTAGGGTGTTATGGGTAGGGCTTTAGCTCTCTTCTTCAACAACCGGGCCCAAAAAAGTTCAAACTTTCGAAGATAGAGCTATAATATATAAGGCCAAAAAGTTTAAAGTTCCCCCGTTCACTATCTAAGTTAGAGCCCTACAGGGCTTCAACTTAGGGTTGTGGGCCTTTGAGCGTCTAGGTTTAGAGTTTATGGCTAGGTTGCGGGTTTAGGGCCTTTCAGGATTTAGAGCTTCAGGGTTTTTAGAGCTACATGTTGTTGCTGCATAGGGCTTTCTAGGTGGAGGGGTAGTTCTACGGTTTTACGGGCGGCTTAACTTTATTCTTCAATGTCACTGCTTGTTTGTTGATTGTTACGTACTTCAGGACCTCGCTAAACCCCACGCACGAAGCCCCAGCCAAGTGAAGCTGTAGAGCGACCGCCGGAAGTCAGGATTCAAGGTTCCCAAACCGCACCCCTGGGTACTTAGGCGGTTGGGGGGTCGTATTCCGACTGTCTCATCTCACCAAGAAAGTCAATAAGTGGGGGCTGTTCTAAATTATGGTCCCTTTTTGGGTACCCTATATAATAAGGACTATACTACTATAGGGCCCAAAAAGGGACCATAATTTAGAACAACCCCCAAGTACGCCCCCGGCCTGAAGAATTCTGGGACCCTAGAGACCGTAGACTTCGTGCTCAATCAGTGTTCCGTCTGGCCCAATGTGAAACGGTTTAGGGTTTAGGGTTTAGGGTCTAGGGTTTAGGGTTTAGGGTTTAGGGTTTAGGGGAAAGAATCCGTATTGTAAAGAATTGCCAAAAAGGAAAGCCGGCCCTATCTCTTTGAAGAGCCCCACCCATCCGCCGGCCTCGGAATAGTCCGATCTAACGTGCGAGGCTGCTGGATGTACCAGGTCATCTTGGACTGAAGGTTCTCCAGCGTCACCTGGGTGCTTCTTTAATTTAGGGGATACCTTGTTTTGGGATCCTCGAATATGTAAATGGGTAGTTGTCAAAATTATGGCCCCTTTTTGGGTACCCTAAATATTAGGTGCCGTATTATAATAAGGACCCAAAAGGGATCTTAACTTTGACAACCACCCAAATGAGTAGATGCTATACTGCTTTGGGTCTATACTCGGGTCCCTCATCTTCCCAATCTCTCACCTGGCTTTGGGTCTAGGTTGGGCCATCTGGCCGATACCTACAAATGCTCCTAACGCTCCCTGGTGATGTGAGTTAAGGGTTTAAGGGTTTGGGTTTTGGGTTTAGGGCTTTGGGGTTTGGGCTTAGGGTTTAGGGTTTCGGGTTTTGGGTTTAGGGTTTAGGGTTTCGGGGTTTGGGTTTAGGGTTTAGGGTGCGGTTTAAGATCTTGGGCTTGTGTTAGGGGATGCAGAAGTTGTGCTATCTCTGTTGGTTGGGACTTCTCCGGCTTTTTCGCTCAGGTGCAGCCTGGGGCCTAGAGCCAAAACCCAAGGACGTCCTTGAACAACACGACTCAGCCGATTTCCGTTCTACGCTAGCAGACTCCCGAAGCAGGAAACTCGACAGTGGATACCTGCTGAGTTTCTAGCACCTGGGCTAGACTCGCAACTGTCCATCGGGATTCACCCAAATCCTGCACCCTGAGCCACAGCCTTAAACCAAAACCCAACCAAACCCCAAATTCGTCAGGAGAAAAACATCACCCAACGAAGAATACTAACAACGCAGACGGAAGCCCAAAACCCTACAACCGAAACCCTAGATCCTGAATGCTAAAACCCCCAACAACCCGCCCAAACGAAAACCTATACAGCCTCCAAAATCACCAAGAAAACCATCAACCCATTAAACCCTAAACAAAAAATCACAAAGCCTAAAGCCCTAAAACCTGAACTACATCCAAAACCCCAACCCACTCTAGACCCTAACCCTTGCGCTCTAAGGACTCGCATTTTATATAAGGCTTCTGGGCCCAAAGTAAAATAAAATGGGTGGTTGTCAAAACTACGGTCCCTTTTTGGGTCCTTAATATAATACGGCACCTAATATCTAGGGCATCCAGAAAGGGACCCTAATTTTGACAACTACCCAAAATACTCAAAGCCGAGCCCGGCCCAGGCACCTGGAGCCCAGGACTCAGGTAGATGAAGTCTCCCAGAAGCCCGGGGCACTGAGGGCCAGAACGATTCATCCTCTCTCAGCAGGGTGCAGGGCTTAGGATGTAGGTTTTGGGGGGCGTTTAGGGCTTTAGGGTTCGGGTTCAGAGTTTGAGATTTATGGTTTGAGGCAGCTTAAGGTGCAGAGTCTAGGAATTTAGGGTTTAAGCTCGATTGTGCCGATAGCAGGCCCATTGCCCGGTGACTGTAGTTGAATTTCACAAACTCGGTTACCCTGCCGGTAACTACCCCTCAACCCTCAAGTAGGGGTCCAGGCGTTGCAGAAGAGTCGTGCAACAAAAAGGCTTTCGGGCTTATCGGGTCGACATGTCGGGTGTCGGGCATCAACGATAGTCTCCATTACAGAACGGTCTAAATGGCATGGCACAGGTTAAGGCCGCAAGTCCAAGGCACAACTCTTCGGACCTCGTCAAGAAATCTTCACTACCCTAGAAGCGTTCCACCAAAATGCAATGTAACCGCTTCCCAACCCTTGTAAGGGTTCAACTGCCGAATGGTCGTATACGCTTCAAGTAAACGAAGCTACTATCCTAAACCCACGTACCTAATTATTAGGTCCTTTGGACCCTGAGGCTAAGAGTCCTGTATTCAAGCCCAAAAACCTGAAACCTAAACCCAAACCCCTCAACCAAATCCTGGTACCCTAAACTCGAAAGGGTCCTGTACTTCACCTTGCTCACCGGCTGGCCATCAACAGTCTCCCCCTCCCAGAACCGATCGATCATGTAGATGGCTTGCTCTCCTGGTTCGCGACTCGGAGTTTCTGTTTTGACTTCAGGGTTGAGGGTTTCAGGGTTTAGGGTTGACGGTTTAAGGGTAGGGTTTAGGGCTTAGTTGACGGTTTAAGAGGTTTAGGGTTGAAACTGCGCTTAGGGTTCCCGGAAAGTCCTGAAGAACAGGGGTGTCAGCTCGTCATTGTGTTGGTACTCCGCCCGCGTATCAGCACGAAGCGAGACCCTACCACAACGCTCGAGGAAACAACTGCTGGCAGTAGGTATTCGGGGTTCAACTTACGGAACAGTGAAGCCGTGCAGCATTTGTTCCTGCATCAAGCACTATAAAGGGTATATCTGGGAGAGATGCATGAGCCCTGTATATGTGTCTTCGAACGTTTCCAGCAGCTCCGGCTACAAAACGAAGCAACCGGCGACGTCCACAGCACGAACTGCCACATCCGAACCCAACACCTGCAAATCCGATGTCGGGGCCGCGAGCCCTCAAAATCAACAAGAATGACCATAATCCCTATATACGCGCGAGGTAATCCCTCGACCTTAATCCCGAAACCCTAAGCCGAAGCCCGAGAACCCTACGACTTCAAGAGCAGGCGTCTAGGAAGTTTGGATGCCGCTTCGACGAAATCCCTCGGAGGGTGTAGAAACTTGACCTCACTGCACAGCTAGAAACAGATTTAGGGTCGGTTTAGGGCTAAGGTAGGGTTAAGGAGTTAAGTTTGGGGTTTAGGGTTTAGGGTTTAGGAGTTTTGGGGTTCGGGATTTCAGGCGGTTGACCGCGGCTGGTGATGGCGGCTTGTATACACTGTACTGCAACAGCGAGAATCACAACAGTAGAGATAGCGGAGGAGCTGTGACTATGGCTACTTGCCATAGCCAGTGACAAGCTACCTTCACAAGGGTAGCCGCATTCGACGGCTGCGCGAAAATCAAGAAATTTCAAGGACATCAGCTCCTGATATAAAGCTTCTGCCACAACCCTGGCTGATTCCGCCTAGAGTGCATGCAGTGACTACGGCCCCAAACCTCTGATGCCTTGGAATTGGAGAAGAGGCTCGTGACCCTAACCATAAGCTCTAAACCAAACTCATGACTGGATGCAACGACAATGGCCCTAGAGTGATTCAAGCGCCTAGGGCGACCAAGCTACTTCTAAAAAAGACCAGCCTGGATCTCAGCTTTAGGATTTGACGCCCTCAGCCCTAACCCTGCGGCCAAGAAGTACTACTGTACTTTGGGCTGTTGGAGTGTAGTTTGGGTTCTTAGGGGAACTTCAAGATCGCGATCGTAGACCCGAGCTTCGCGTTGAAGGTTTAGGGAGTCTGGGCTCTTAACGCATGCACTCTTCACTTTTTTCGGGATCCCTCTAACGGTTTTTGTTGGTTGGGGTTGGGGTTTAAGGTGTAGGGTGTAGGTTTAAGGATGAGGCTAAAAGTCTGGCCGGTTTCGGGCGATGGAGATTCCTAGGGACCAACCGGACCAACCTAAGTCTCACACGCCCGAACCCTGTACATGTCCTAAGCCTCCCCACACCCTGAGCTTCAAAAGCTCGTAATCTCGCTGCTCCAGACCCTAAAACGTATATATAACCTAAAACCATCAACCGCTTGAGTCCTAAAATCAATGTCATCCCTTAGGAAGCCAGGGCACATCTGTACCCAACAACCCTAAACCCTAAACCCAACCATGCAATGTCATCCAGTGGGAAGCCAGGGCGCATCTGTACCCAACAGCAAACGCCCTGACCTGCGGTGCCACAACGAGATGAGCACTGAAGTCTGATCACGGTTTAGGGTTTAGGGTTTATAGTTTTTGTTTCAAGCGCCTCTTAGGGCTTGTAGGGTTTAGGGCTTAGAGTTTACAGGGTTTAGGGTTTATAGGGTTTATAGGGCTTATAGGGTTTATAGGGTTTAGGGTTTAGGATTTACAGGGTTTAGGGTTTAGGGTTATTTGATCGGGGCTGAGGGAAACCGTGACGATGCTGCGCAGCGCTCAGGCCGACTCAAGCCGTGAACAGTCATGAACATGCAGCAGATCCCCTAAGGGTCCATGTGCCCAAATAAGCTACCATAATAGGGGTCTATAGTAAATAATATGGCTTCCTTCTTAATTTACGGGTTCATGTACCCCAATAGTATATACATTGGCCCCAATGTACATATATAGGGACTACTTTAAGGCCAATGTATATACTGTTTAGGTACATGGACCCTTAGGGATCTTCAACAACACCGTGAAACCCAATATAGCCCTAAGCCCTAAACCGAAAAATCCTAATTACTAAACATATTGGGGGAACAAAATTCCCCAATATGTTTAGTCTTAAAAATCCTAATTACGAGACGACGAGCCGCTGCACTGAAAGGTGGTCGCTGTCCGCCAGCGTCCGCCGAACGGATGCTCGGTTCCTCGGCCCACAAAACTGTGCATGGGACCCTTAGGGTGCTGGAATCCGGAAGTGCTCTGACCGGATCTGTCCGAGGTGCTTGTCGTCGAGCGGCGTGTCGCGGAAGGGAGCCATGCGAATCCTCGGCAAAACGGCTTCAAAGTGCGCCGTCATCTGCGCAACTCTGCGTTTCCAGAACTCCAATAACTGACCAAGGATCCCTACTGTCCTGCTGTAGTCTATAAGGAGCACTGCGTAGCAAGTCTGTGGGTTCCCAGTGTTAGACCCGATTTCTCTCCAGGAGTTCTTCACTGTAACCGTTCCGAGTACCGTTGTGATGTTCGGCAGTTCTTGATCACACCTAAATGCCCAAAACCGAAGCCCAACGCCCAAGCTGGTCCATAATGCCACCTGTTGTAAAGAACCCCTCCCATCCTTTCCTAAACCCTATAACCCCAAACCCTAAACCCTATACGCCCTGAGCCCCCAAAAGAGACATCAACAAACGGGAGTTCGGCCCCGGTGTCGCATCCCGTGGGTCCAGGTCTAAGTTCACCAGCTTGTAGCGGTGCCGGGGGAACCTCATCGCTTCGGTACTTCCGGGCTTCCGTCGGGCTGTTTGCTTATTATTCATAAGGCTTCTATACTTTCAGGTCTGTATGGGTTCTCCATATTTTTGTTATAGTGAAGATTTGGAAATATGTCAGGTTCTTATGAAGTTGTATTTGGTTTGATATAAAGTTCTATTGAGGATTGATAAAAGTGTTTAAATCTATTTTGTTACGGGTGACCAAAAACGCCTTAAGTGCTTCATAAACTAGACCCCTTATGGAACCCCGAACAGAGCCCTTGAAAAGGATTCCTTACGGAACCCTTAAGAAAGCCCTGTGAAAGGAAAACTTACGGAAGCTTAACAGAGTCCTTGAAAGGACCCCCCCCCCTTACCGAAGCCTGAAAAGAGCCCTTGACAAGGAACCCTTAACAGAGCCATGGAAAAAGCATCCTTAGGAAGCCCTTGAAGGGATCCAATATGGAACCCTTAAGGAAACTCTCTTAAGGCATCCTTATGGAACCCTTAAGAGAGCCCCTTATCGGAGCCTTTGAAAGAGCCCCTTAAAGAAAGCCCCTTTACAGGGAACCCTCACGGAACCCATAAAGAAGCCTTTTAAAGGAACCCACAAAGGAGCCTTTTCCAGGAGCCCGTTAAACAAAGGCTCTTTTACGGACTCCCTGCATCAAAGGAATCGGCCCAGGGGCTGCCGATAAGTCTCTTGGGCGTAGCTGTGCGTGTGATTGTCTGTGTACACGACATACCTTTGGGGCTTCGGGTTTAGAGGTTAATTAGGGGTTTAGGTTCTTTTGGGGGTTTAGGGGATTAGGGGCTTTGGGGGGTTAGGGTTTAGGGTTTGGCTTAGGGGTTTAAGGTGTAGAGTTTAGGGGTTTAAGGTACAGGTTTTTTTTGGCTCAGGGATCGGGCTTCGCGAGCTTAGGGTTGGGTGTAATGTAGGGCTTAGGGCTCAGGGTTAGCGAGTTAGTCCCTGGTTCAGGTGGGGTTCAGGAAGGAGGGTGTGGGGTCGAGGTTTGGTTTTTTGGGCAATGTAGGGGATTAGGGCCTGTAGGGTTTATAGTAAAAGCCAGAAAGTTGGAATATGATTATCCTAAACCCTTTATGGCAAATTATAGGGTATCCTACCATGAAACCATATTCCAACTTTCTGGAGTTCCCTTTACAGCTACAATCAGGTTCGAGGGTGCTGAGGGCTTCGGCAAAAAATCATGACACCTTTGACACGGCGGCTTTCCGTTGCGCATTTGCAACAGGCATGGCCCTGTAGGCAAGTCTTGTATCTTACCAGCAGTTTGGCATTATTTCTTGGCATCAGTGTTTTACAATAGGATGCCAACATGACTGTGGACACAACTGGGCTGCCAAGGTTTCTGGCCCGGGCACAGCTTGTCATCAAAATTCCGAACTATGGGCGCCATGGGCACTTGCGAGATAGAAGGAAGATCCGCCCCGTACTACAAAGCCAAACCCACATAATCTCTCCACCCAAACAGCCGATTTGACCCTGGACCTGAAACTCATCCATCGGTCTATCTATCTGTCCATAGATCTGTATGCATTGGTCTACCTGTTAAGCCAGCTAGCTATCTATTTCTACCAGCTACCAACCTACCTACCTGCATACCGACCTCCCCTCTACTACCTACCCACCTATCTACTTTCTAGCTACCGACCTAAGTCCTATGTATCTAGTTAGCTAGCGAGCTGGCTAGGTAGCTGTCAGTCTGCTATCTAGTCGGTCTTGTCTGTTTGGCTAATTTGGTTGTTTGTCTGTTAATAACGATAGTCAGTTAAAGCTTAGATAGATTCAGAGATACCGATAGATAGATAAACAGATAACAGATAGATCGATGGATGGGTAGCAAATCGGATAAACAGAACGATAGAGGTAGATAGATAGATCTGCAGAGATATTATGATACATATATACATAGATAGATAGATATATAGATAGAAAGATTGGTAGATAGATAGATAGATAGACACACAGCTAGATCCGATCGATAGAGAGAGGGATATATATATATATATATAGAGAGAGATTAACAGGTGGGTAAGTATGCAGGCAGCGGGCACGCCGGCGGGTATGTAGATTGATAGACAGGAAAATAGAAAGATGGCTCGATACAAACCTAGGCAAAGAAAGGCAAGGAAAGACAAAGTTATATAGGTCCAAGATAGGAATTGCACATGAAAGCCCCTAGCACTGTCTACTTTTTCATGATCCCGGGCGCTGTGGCGCCCTGCCGAAGGCCGGCGATGCCGTGATCGCCGGAACAAGGTTCGTCTCAGCCCAGCAGAGGGCGGTGCGCCTAAGGTCGGACGTAGGCTTCAGGGCGGGGCTTAAATAAAGGGCTTCGGGTGTAGGATTTAAGCTTTAGGGTTTAAGTTTTTAGGGTTTATAGGGTTTAGGGTTTAAGGTTTGGGGATTGAAATGCCCCTTTTTACGGCTGCCCAATCGTCCATAAGGCCTATTGGCCAGGAGAGGTTGCAAGAGACTGTACGCTCCAGGTCTAGAGTGGTTTAAGGTTTACGGAGTTTCGGGCTGGGAAGCCTAGGGGTTTATTACGAACGCCTGGGACAAGAGTTCGCCGATTCTCTCCCCCCGCGGCCTGAAGCTAGGGGTTAAGATCTTAGGGCTCAAAGGGCTCGGGGTTTAGGGTTTCGCGGATGTTGCAGTTGGAGATGTTCCGACGATGCGACACGCTGAGCCTAGGATGGCTCGCATCTCGGCATCTTTTACTATGACGACCGAGGCCGTAAACTGAAAATGCTCGGGTCGGGCAGGACGGAGGAAGCTCTTCATGGTAAAGTTTAATGTCGCGGTCTAAATAGTCGACGGGCGGCCCCCCACCAACAATTTTTGGTCTAATTAATTCGGAACCGATGACCCCGGACAGGGGTCAGGGGTCCGAGTGGCAGGGAATTGGGAGGTGCCGGGGTTTGGGGGGGTTCAGCGCGATTGCGCGGACGGGGAGGTCTGGGGATCACCAAATGCTGGAAACTAAGCCCCGATCACTCCAAGATAACTACCAAGACTAAACACCTGAATATTTTTGCCTCCAACCTACACTCCCTCACTCCCACCCACAATAGACCACGTCTGAAGCTTGGTTCGGTACAATGTTGGTACAGTAGTGCAATAGCAGTACAACAGTAGTGCAGTAGAAATCATACAGTAGTAGTACAGTAGTAGTAAAGTAGTAGTCAAGTAGTAGTACAGTAGTAGTACAATAATAGTGCAGTAGTACAATAGTAATACAACAGTAACACAGTAGTAGTACAATAGTAGTACAGTAGTAGTACAGCGGTAGTACAGTAGTTAGTAGTACAGTAGTAGTACAAAAATAGTACAGTGATACAATAGTAGCACAGTAGTAGTACAGTAGTAGTACGATAATAATACCGTAGTACAATAGTACTACAGTAGTAGTACAATAATAGTGCAGTAGTACAGTAGTAATACAACAGTAGTACAGTAGTAGTACAATAATAGTACATTAGTACAGTAGTAGTACAGTAGTAGTACAGTAGTAGTACAGTAGTAGTACAGTAGTAGTACAGTAGTAGTACAGTAGTAGTACAGTAGTAGCACAGTAGAAGTACCGCAGTAATGCAGCAGTAGTACAGTAGTAGTACAATCGTCGTACAGTAGTGGTACAATAGTAGTACAGAAATAGTACCGATAAGCAAAGCATCATAAAGCCAGTGAGCACATTCTCCCAAGAAGCAAAGCATAAAGCCAGCGCCTGAAACCCTAAACCCTAACAACCGTTAAACCCTGAACCCTAAACCCTAACACACCCTAAACCCTCCTAAACCCGACCAAACCCTAAACCCTAAACCCTTCCCAAAGGGGGGTCAGTCCAGATTCGACCCAAAACTGAATTTTGAATACAAACTTTAGCACTGGAGAGGCCTCTTTTACGCAAGGGTCCAATTCCGGATTCGGCGGTTCAGCCCAGCAGCCCCCCCCAATAAGCAAGGCATACAGTAGCAGTACAATAGTACAATAGTAGTACAGTGGTAGTACAGTACTTAAGGTAAAGACCAGAAAGTTGGAATATGATTATCCTAACCCTTCTGAAACCATATTCCAACTTTCTGGAGTTCCCTGTAGTAGTACCTGACGCCCTAATAAGCGAAACAATTCTGCAAGAGATTTTCCGGCTTCAGGGCCAGGGTTTTAGGGTTTGGGTGGGGGTTTAGGTCGTGGCTGCCTTAAGATTGACCATCAGCAGACAGCACAGCCCCACCCCCCCAAAACAAAAACAGTCAAAAAAATACGCATTAATTAGACCGCCCAAATTTTTGGTGCCGGTCTGAAGTAGCACCGGAGAAAACGCATTAAAGGAGCCCATATTCCTAAACCGACCGGAACATTACAGCTCACGGGGCTTCTCTGGAGTATTGCCATAAAGTCTACCCCAGACAGCAAACTTAAGGACCCAGCCCTAGGCACTCCAAACAGTGGGACGGAAGATGGGCGCTACAGAAAGTAGCAGGCCGTAAGACGGGCCCTAGTAAACCGAGTGCCCTTATCATGGCAATCCTAAGACACCTCGCATTGTGAACTCAAGAAATATGATTGATGAGTTCCTACTGGCACCAAAGCGCGAGGGTTGACACTGTCATAAGGTTTCTGGAAGCACTTCGTGTAGATCTTGGGTTCGTGTAGACATACCTGGACGTCGGTGATCATTACTTTCTCGATGCGCCGCGCAACGTTCTTAGAGGGAAAACCGCAAAACCCTAAACCCTAAACCCTCGCAGCCAAGCTGCAAGAAGGGCACCTGGATGTTACGCAGGCTCGCCGTGTCGTTGCTTGGCTGCAAGAGGCTGAACCGGACCTGCCCACTTGCTGAGCTAGACAGGGTATCTAAGAAGGTATTATAGGGGCCTTAATAATTAGAATAATTAAGGTTTGGGGCCCACTATACTATATAGGAACCCAAAATAATACAGGAAACTGTTTCGGCCCCTATATTATCTGAACCGGCAAATCTTCAGACTGTGCTCGCAACATGCAGCAACTGACTCAGACTGTTCTCGCAACCAAGCAGCGTAAGAGGAAACACCGGCTTCACAAAGGCAGGTAGAATTACTGTATTGCCGTATTGCTCATGACGCGATCCTCACCCATAGGCTCTAAGGGCCCATCTGCAAGGCTTTTCGGCCTATAAAGGAGTTATAACTCCACTTATAAACACCTATGAACTCATAAGGCTATAGTACCCTTTCCTAGTTGCTGAGTCCATAAGCCCCAACAGTGTACTCTTTCTGTTTTATACGAGGCAATATTTCACCAAATGTGTAAAGTGTATCCACTCAGCTACTAAACTTAAAAGAAACCCTAAACCCCCAAACCCTAAAACCCGTTATGGGAGCCTTATACGGTCATAGGGGCGAGAAACCCCTAAACACTAAACCCCTATAAACACTAAGCCCCAAACCCTAACTAAACCCCTAAACACTAAGCCCCAAACCCTAAGCCCCTAAACACCAAGCCCCTAACAAACGAAGGCCAGCGTGAAGGCGCCTGTACAGGCGGCTGTTGGGCGACCTGCGCCCTGATCAGTAGCGGCGCCGAGAGGTCTGGCACATTCCTGCACAACTGCGCCTTATGGGATTTAAGGCATTTTGGTGCTTTTGGGGCTTATTCATAGGTTTTGTTTCGGGATTGTGGGGCTTAGGGGTTCAGGGTAGACTTATACTGTGTATTAATATGTATTAATAGGGCCTTGGGGGGTTTATAAGGTTTAGGACTTTAGTGTTTCAGGTGCAAGGTTTTGGTTTGATTCAGGCTGGTCTAGAAAGTTGATGAAGTGGATAGGCGGGAAGTCGGTAGGTAGCAGCAGTAGCTGATTGGTTCAGTGGGCGTGGCTGTGTGCAACGGATGGCACGGGTCAGTGGGGCCGGCGTTGTTGAGGCTGGTGTGGCGCATGCTCAGGGTTTAGATTTCGCGGTAGGGGTATGGTTTTTCTCGTCGTCGCCGTCGTGACATCGTTGTCGGAATGACCCAAACCCAGACTAAAATCCAAGGCGAGTAAGTGCAGCAGTTAAATGAAGGTCCCTGTGCCTGGAGGTTCATCGGTAGTTATAAGTCGTAGTTATAAGTCGGGTTATACGTCCCTCATAATATGGGTTATAAGTATAGTTACCCTACTTATGACCCCACTTATAACTACCCATGGACCTCCAAGTGCTGCCCCAGGGTGCTGAGCTCACTCTGCCCGCCTGTCCGAGGATCCCTCGGCAAAATTCCTCTGCCTGGCGCAGGGTCCCAGGAGTCGCGTTTGGCGGGTTGCAGACCCCAGACGACATAGAGCTCAGGGCGAAGGGTTTCGGCAGCTGCTTTCATGCCATGTCTAAGGAAATAGAACCTTAATCTGGGTTACTGTGCATTTGCAGTCTTATAAGGTTTGTAGGAGTTCAGGGACTGTTCTCCCAAAGCCTTAAGAGTGGTGACGGCTGGCGAGATTCAGGTGTGGTCGGCCCAAGAAGCAGAGATACTCAATAGACAGAGACGCATCACACCCTTGCCCAGAAGAGAGCCCTAGACTCTAAGCCCCCGGGGTGAGAGTTGCTGGTTTCACTGGTCCGAAAAAACCCCATACGGACCTGTTTGAGTACGCGCCGGCGGAAATGAATAACGCAGCGAAGAGTGCCCACAAGGCTGTTGCAGGCATGGGTAGGACGTGCTGCGGCTGACCATGGACTTAAGGCAATGATGCCCTTGAGCCGAAAGCAAAAAAGGGCCCATAAATTTAAACCGATGAAGCCCGGCCGCGAACATTTTCCGCCTGCCTACCCACTTACTGAGTCAGTTGCAATGTTGATGCATCTCTGCTCTTCCCCCAAAGAAAAACTCTCAAGCCTCAGCTCCAAACCCTCTAAGCACTTATGCAATTGCTGGGCTCACTTTGGGAGTCGCTTGTGGAGTACCATGTTGGAGTTCCCTTTACCCAAAGGCCCCAAAGTAGTTCCTTTTTGGGGTTCATACATAGAATCCTATAGGGTAATCCCAAAAAGGAACTACTATGGGGCCTCTGGGTAACTTGCTGGTTGATTGAATTCTTTTTACTTAGGGAACACGCAAACCGCAACGACTAAAGGCAAATTGTATTGTGCACCTGGTTCGGGGAGGACGGCCACGCTCATGCGCTAGGTTGGACGATTCGGATGTGGCTAAACAGATGGTTGGAAGATGCCGTTGCCCAATATGCCTCCTTCGAACAGTCTGGCTTCTAGTGCGTGGTGGTAGAGAGAGAGAGAGAGAGAGAGAGAGAGAGAGAGAGAGACATCGAGAGAGAGAGAGAGAGTAAGAGAGAGAGAGAGAGAGAGAAAAAAAACGAGAGAGAGAGAGAGAGAGGGAGGGGGAGAACACGAGCAAACTCCGGTTTTTTGTTGCACATGTCGTCCTCACGTCTGCCCCTTCAGGGCATCGGTCGGAAGTGAAATAATCTGCTGGTCGTGTGAGACAATACTGCCAACCTCGATGACATTATTCTTATCTTACCTAGAGTCTCCATTGTAGCTCATTTTTTGGTTAACCAAAACCTATACTATAGTATAGGATCCTGACCATAAAATTGGCTAGCAAAAAGAGGAACTACAATAGAGACTATAGGTAGTCTCCGGTACAGTACAAGATGAGACAAGACGTCAGTCCCTGCGCATAGCGGTCGAAGAGAACGCGTGTGGACCGGAGACAAACATATCAACAAACGGATCCCCTACATGTAATTATGTGTATGTATGTATGTGTACAGGTATATGTATGTGTGTTATGTGTACATAAACAAATAAATAAATATGTATATATGTATACATATACGCCTGCGCTTATACACTCCTGAGAAGTTGTTCATGCTGTCGCACCTAAACTCCAGATCGTGAACAAATCTTGATGTCAGGTATTTGCAAGCTAGATCGCCATAACAAAAATGGCTGGGCAACATGTGGGAATCCACAACCCTGAACCCTAGAGTGGCTTACATTACAGACTGCGTACTGTAAGTACTGTAGTTACTGTAGTGAGTCAACTGCAAAACGGAAAATTCAACTCCTACGCCCATTGCTACTTCGGGATGCAATCCCTGTTCCTGTGAATGGCTCATGGGCTTCGGTTTAGGGTTTAGGTAAGATACTAGGCTTACATGGAACCCACCTTGACATTTTGCAAACGACAGTTGTATACGGCATGAAGTGCAAACAAACTGAAACACTACACTGTGA